GGCAGCAAAGGGTAGCCCCAGCCTGGAGTTTTTGGGGGCGTGTCGCTGGTAACGCACAATTTGACGCATTTTTAGCTGTTGGCTGGCTGGCTGGCTGAATGACTGCCTGACTCTCTGGCTGGTGGCTGGCGCTGCGTCAATGAACGTGTGAAGTTCTATAGAACAGAAGGCAAAAAAGGAGTCGAGCTGTAGCCAGAGTCGGAGGACGTGACCCAGGCAGGAAACGCTGCGTGCCGTCGGCGCATTATGTGGCTGTGTGTGTGCTGCTGTGGGGGGCTGGCTTTGTCAACCTCAAAACATGCAACAGCAACGGGGCGCAATGATGAGATGAGCTCATTACTTTAATGGAACACCACCCGAGCCGCCCACTCAAACATGCTACTGCTCCTGCTCCTGCTCCTTCTCCTTCCGTGCTGTCTGTGTCCTTTTGCAGCTGCCGCTGCTGCTAATGAAATATTTGTATATTGTGCATTTTATTTGAGTAAAATTATGTTTATCCTAGCGGCTGGGGTCAATGGCACAGCCGCAGCAAAAGGCACCGCCACCCAGTAATTAGCCAGCTATATAAACAACAAACAACATGAAACTCCATACAGAAGAAAATAACAAAATGGCAAACAATTTGCTCTGCAGCACAGAAAAAAAATTAACCCAGAAATCTAATTAGCGAAAATATAACAACAACTGCGAGGAAGAAAACAGGAGCTCAAATGTCAAAATGTAACGAGGAATTAAATGTGGAAGCTTTTGACGAGAAGATGCTCTGTCATAGGATTAGGTTAAATGATTGCTGGAGCTCTAGATGTTTATGAGAAGCAAGTATACTTAGAAATTTCTAACTAGATTAAGAACTCTATGAAATTCGACAGTCATTAGTCTATATTAATTAATTGTTCTGTGAAAGTTTCCATGTTTCTATTTATCTATTTATCTTAATAAAGATTCTTGAAAATACTTAAAACTCTTAAATTTAATTGCTTAAAATTGTAGACCAAAACTCTATAATGTCAGTTAACATATTCTACTATACCAAAGTAAATCATCCCTACTGTCTGATAAACATATTGTTTCTAAGCTTAAGACTCCTTCATTTTAAATACAAATTATAGTTTACAACATTTATGTTAATCAAATACGTATTTAATTTAGTAGAAAGGCGTAAATATTCTCTTTTTCATAGACTTTCAGTCAGTGCATAAAGTTCTTTAAGCTCAATTTAAACAGGGTATAAAAACGCACACACACACACACACACACACATTCACTATAAAAAGGGGGCGTTAATTTTGTTGAACGATGACGAAATCGAGACGATAAAAAAACATGAACAAAGTAAGACAAAGAGCGAGAGAGAGAGAGAGAGGCCGAGGAGCTGAAAGAAATGAGAGGGTTGCGGATGGATAAACGTCATCTGTCGCATGTTTTGCTGTTGTTGGGTAACCTGAGCGCTGACCACATTAAAAAGAAGGAAAACTGGGAAAAAAAATATGGCATGCAATGTACTCTGGGCACTGACCAACCAGAACAAAAGCAACAACTCGGCCCGTATATCGAGCAGGAGCAGGAGGAAGAGCAGCAGCAGCAGGACCACGACTGCTGCCATCGTTGGCAATGGAACCGGCAATTGTCGACGCTCCCACTTGGAGCTGCTGTTTAATAGTTGCAATTGTTGGCACTACAAACAACCGTAATTTTCGTCAACAATGGCAACAGCAGCGCTCTGGGCCAAGGAAACGAAGCTGTGGCAAGTGGCATGCGGCATGCGGCATGTGGCATGTGTAAGCCAACTTAATTGCATGTTAAACAGGCAAACGCGATACAATAGAAAAAAATAATGCACTGAATTATTAAAACAATATTTGTGCGCGATTAGAAGGCAACCGCAAGCAAAACAACTGTAATAAGAAGCAAGCGAAGCCAGTGAATGGGACAACTTCTGGTAAGTCCATTGAAGCTAAGCTACCAAGAAATTGTAAGTTATTGTTGGAGGAAAACGGAAGAAAATCTGTATAGAAAACTGAAAATTAGTTAAGCATTTGGATTTTAATCTTAAGATAGATATAGCAGGGATGGGTACAGAGAGTTTTATAGATAGAAATGAAGACCTGTTGATAGAGGTGTTCTAGAGATGTATGTATATGAAAATAAGAGCTCGAGCTGGAGCCAGAGATTGTGATAGAGATAGAGATAGAGATAGAGATAGAGATAGAGATAGAGATAGAGATAG